AATATGTCCCTTAAGCTGCTGTTATACACATGAGAACACTATTAGTACTAATATTATTATGCCATACTCCCAACCTTGGATGGTGAAAATAGGTAGAATTGTACAATAGTAAGCATGTGCTTTATATCAGCCAGTATATTTCACTCCAGATACCAGTTATTCAAGGCCTCATTTCTCAATACAAAGTGTGGTATTTAGTGGTCACTAAGGAAATGTTCATTGCATTAATTAATCCAAAATACTTTGCTGTTAACTATACAGAAGTGGCTATCTCCAAGTAAAGTCACCTCTATAAGTACTTATCAAGTGTGATTCCATCTTATTTTAAATGCTAGAGGGAATATAAAATTTCAAAAGATGTGATTTCTATACCACTGGATTTATAGTCTGATTGTGGAGATGGCCAATTATATCATTAAAAAGAAAATAAAATTACAAGGGGAGGGAAATAAAGAGACAGCAGCCTTGGGCACTGTGCTTTCATTAATTCATGCCACTCAAATGTCAATCTTGCCATTAAATCTCATCTATATTATGTTTAAAACTTATTCATCCATAGACTAGAGTGAGGATTGATGTTTTTAGTTTCTTTCTATAATTCAGCAATATTTCCAAACGGGCTCACACATAGGTCTGTGATAGGCATGGAAAATAACTCCTTATATGTCTAATCCTGAATCTTAGTAACAGTAAAAGAAAAGATCCATAAATAGAGTTTTAATTAACAGTGATGTTGTGATATTTAGAAATAGATCATAGTCTTTTTGAATCTGTTAGCTTTCTTATAAAGAGTTTTGTTTTTCCCAGAGGGTCAAAAATAATTAACAAAATTAATTATTTCACAATTTATTTAGCAATGCATTGTCTCGGAGATTCCTGAACAAGTGCACTGAGCCATATTTCTGTATCAAGGATGATATAATCAGTCTGCTTTGAAGAGAGCACTGTACAAAAATATGTTGTCTCAAATAGTGATTAAGAGAGAGGAGACATATAGAGTGTCCTGTCAGAATGATTATATATTTTTAAAATTTGTGACCAATACACTTCTACAAAATACTCCCTAAATAATGAGCTTCAGAACTTTTCCACTGGTCTTTAATGAACTTGAAGAAATTATAATAGTTCAAATGGAAAATAAGCACTCCCGTTCATAGCCCTTAATTGTTTCTTGAAAGGTATCATTGATCATTCATGTTTTTCTTTTTGAACAATGGATGTGATCTTTCTCACATCTGTTCACTATATTTTTAGCTTTTGCTTAGCTGAGCCTATGTTTTGTAGTAGTAGTAATACTTTACTATAGATATGCTCTGTGGTTTTTAAATACCTTTTTAGGATAGCATAGGATTCCTGCAGATGGTATCTAAACGACTCAGGCATTTGTATCTACATGTGATTTTCTGGTGCTTAGCAGCAAAAACGAAAATTGGCGTATTTCTCAAAGAAAAGAAATTCATCCTCAGAAATTACTGCCAATGTAAAATATTCTGTCTAAATGTCTGTTCATTGTTGTGATGCCTACTGAAATGAAAGCACTCATAAATAATTTAATACAGTAGAAAATTTTATAAATTTTGATATATCTTCAAAGTGTAATACTATGCTTTAAATACAACCATGCTGTTAAAAATATTTCACAATGTAAAATTATTTGCACTATATTATTTTAATTACTAAGTCAAATAAAAACCTATTTTACTTGAAAATAGGTATATTAAGAAAGAGTACCAGTAGATACAAATAGAAAGCTTATTAAAGGTTGTATCCCTGTACTGGGATTATAAGAAATACTTTGCTTTATTCTGCTTATTATTATTTCAAAAATTGTAGAAAAATTCTTATGGCTTAGTAAAATAAAATTGATAGAGATATTGAAGAAAAATAAGCATTAAAAGTAGGAAGCAATAGTTTATACTTCTCAAGTGGCAACCCATAACAATATCCATCATGCTTTCTGCAAATACAAATGTGCTGTCCTCATAGATGCTGGGTTTGCTCTTGAGGTGAAATTCCTATTTTTATTTATTTATTTCATTTTGGTTTCAGATTTCTTCCCCCTCTCCTCAACTCTAACACTCCATCAAAATAGTCCATGTTAATAAATAACAATATATCTTTTATTCAGGCTTACTCATCATTCATAGAATATCTATATATAGATTTATATATATGTACAAATACGGGGTTGTTAATTGTTATTTGCCTGAGAAAAGCTAGATCATACCATGTCATCATTTTGCATATTTCCACAATATCTTTTGGAAATCCTCATAAACCCATTCATAGTACTAAAGTCTATAATTTTTTTTGAGGACATGTAATTGCATGCTTTGAATTTCATAAGTGACCCTATTTTGCTTCTAGGCAAAATATAGGGAAATTTTGCCCCTGTCCAAGCTATAGTTGGCAGTTTCTAAAGGCATTCTGATTTGTCTCAAGTTACTAGAGAGAGAGCTACTTTGGGCAAGTAGTTCATAGAGACCAGAAATCTTGCTGAGCATCTTACAGTGCATGGGATAACCCACCCACAATTCATTGACGTGTCCCAAATTTCACTACCAGACATAGGCTGATCGACCTGTGGCTGACTAAGATACTCTTTCCTCTCATGTCCACAAGGCCCATTCTCTCCGTCCTTCTAGTCTTGTTGCTAATGGCATTTTCTCAGTAGCCTATTTAGACTCCATCCTCCTTCAACACCTATGCACAAACCAACCACTGTCCTTCCCAGTCCTATTTACTCTGGTCATTTCTTTTCTTCCCCTCAATTTCTAACAAGTCATACAATTTGTTAATTATGTTTATCCATTATATTTTTCCTCCTTCCAGAATATAATCTCTACTGTGGTAGAATTTTTGTCTGATGTGTCCACAGGAACTAGCAAAAGTGCCTAATATTTGATAAATACACAAACAAGCAAAAGAACATGAAGAATAGTATGATAGGCATTCACTTATTTTTCATTTTTTTGCCATGAACAATGCTGAAGTAAATATCCTGATACACAAATCCTTATATGTTGGTTCTTATATGTCTATCAACCAGAATGCTTTCCAAACTGCTTAAAATTGGCTTCTGGGTTTTGGAAGGTCATTCCTACCTCTCAGTTGTATACATAATTTACTCTGTTTTCTTGCATTAATTTTATTTTTGTTGCATTTAAGCCTGCATTCCAACTGGAATATATATCTGTATGTGATACAAAACTGAGATTTAATTTCATATCCTTCCAAGTAGATGACCAGCTATGCCAGCACATTGTTAAATAAAACATCATATCAAAACTGAATTAAAACACACATCTTTACATTACATCTTCCAAATTATCAGTCTCAGTTTCTTGATTCTCTTTTCATTCAACCCAGATTGTAGTATGCATTAAATTTCTATTTTTATATTTAAAAAAACAATGTGAAAGGAAGAGGAAATACAGATCACAAAAAAATTTATCAGGTTAAAAGAAATATGTATATTCAACTTAAAGATGTATTGGAGCTACCTGTGAGATGTGGATTGGGATTGCTTTTGGAGTTCAACCCAAGCAAAAAGTTAACAAGACACCATTTTAACCAATAAAACTGGTCATGGTGGTACATGCCTGTCATCCCAACTATGCAGGAAGTGTGGATAGGAGGTTGATGCAGGCCATTCTAGGCAAAAGTAAGAAACTTTATTTGAAAAAATAGCCAAAGCAAAAAGGGCTGTGGGGGTGTGGCTCAAGTGGTCACGTGCCTGACTAGCAAGAGCAAGGCCCTGAGTTCAAATCCCAATAGTTCCAAAAATATCATGAATTACAGAAAAACTTAAAAATAAGAATAGACACCCATCCAATAATTGAACTTCATTATATATTCAACCTGCCTAGAATATATAAATGACAAAATTAATGTGCTGTCTTCACTAGTCACATTATGGCTAAGCCAATCTTGCATACTTTTTTTTTCCAAAATGTTATTTTAATTCCATATAATGCAATTTTATTTCATTGTGCCTATACTTCAATTGTTTTGAAAAATATTGTGTTAGGGCTCTCCAGGAAAACAGAACCAATAGGATGTATATGCAGTCAGTAAGAGATTTATTATAAGAAATTGGTTCTCATAGCAATGGAGGCTGGCAGGACCACAATCTGCAGAGCAGATCTGGCAGCCTGGAGACACAGGAAAACTCATAGCACTAATGACGTCCAAAGACAGTGTACTGAGGAATTTCCCCTTGCTGTAGAGGCTGATCTATTTTGTTCTATTCAGATCTTCCTTTGACTGGAGGTTGCATTTTGGAGGATAACCTGCTTCACTCAAAGTTCACAATTTAAGTGTTAATCTCATTCAAAAATAACCCTCCAAGTTGACACATAAAATTAACCATCACAAATATCTCAGGCTACTCTTCATCTCTAAGAAAACTTAAAATTAAGCCCTTAAAAAACAAAAATGCTGGGTCTACAAGACTTCAAGATAAAAATAAGATTACAAATTTACTTCTAGTTAGGTAATAAAATCAGTAAAGATTACCTTAACCTTAATCACAAAATAAGAATCAAATCTTGTGAAAATGTTGACACTTACTTATCCTGTTACTATTTACCTTTTCTATCTTGGCCCCAGGACAATCAGAATGACAAGAGTGAAATTGGTGATCAATTGACTGGCCATTGGACAGCAGGAGAAAGCTTATTACCAGTTAGTTGTGAGTGCCCGTGCATCCTTAGTCTGTATGACACCCACTCACTCCTGTCCTAATTAGGAACTTTCATGACACCTTTAAGGTAGAGTGAATAAAATATTTGAGTCTCTTAATAGTGGCGTCATGGGCTTCCTTGCTATGTAATGGCAGCTCTGGATCTATTTAATAATTCAGTGATTAAACAGAAGGGACTAGCCCTCCTTCCATTAAGTCTTTTGTGTCTTACCCCCATACAGACATTAGGAATGTCCTGTGACATTCACAGAGACAATTAAAGCAGACCTCCAGTCCTGTGGATTACTAGATTTACCTGGTGTGTGATCAGAGTCTACACTCCATGCTTCGGTAGGAATTCTGCTGCCAATCACCCAATCCAAGTCATTTTCAAGGTCTTGTGTAAGACTGCAAACTGTGGTCCAGTTTCCTGAAGTTGTTTCAAAATTGCAGCTTCCTGTTGTGTTTGTGTAATATCCTGGTGAAACAAAAGTGTTCGCAAAAGCTTCAGAAAATGTTTATTATGCTTCATATTAATTTTAAGTCTTTATAATTATAAATCTTCCTAAATAAATTATATACAATCGAAACATTTGTATACATTGGTAATATTGCTTATACTTTGTGATTTTTTATCAAAGGATCTAGAAGCAACGCTTGAAGAGTGTCATATATATTAAGGAATTATATGGATTGACAAAATAATATTTATGCATGATAGATAAGACTGTGTGTGTACATGAACAATAAAGGTAACATTATGATATTATGGAAAATTCAGGTTGGATGAACAAATAACATTCGTTGTCTGGATGTTCAGTGTAATCCCATAGTTATCTGTGGTGTTTGAACAACATAGAGCATTAGAGAGGCAAAGACATTTAATAAAGAAAATGTGTCTTTTGAAAAAGTAGTAAACTGTATAAGACACAAACCCTTTTAGGTACTATACCAGTCACTGGAGCACAACATTTCAGAGCTAGTCACTAGATAATGAAAGAAACTCTCTTCTAAAAGTATTGATTGATAACTCATTAAAAATTGAATTGTTTTCAATGAGAAAAATTAATAGATGATAAATGAATGCCTGCTAGTCATCTGTGAAGTGTTCCATGATAATACCCAAAATTCAGGCTTTCATTTTTCTTTTTGCACAGCAGTTATTATGTTTGAGCACTCACTGTAAAATATCACTGTCTTATACAGACAAGAAGAATTATTGGGTTATTTAATCAGTACAGATCAACTGAGATTATCATTGACTTTCCCTTCTTTTAAAAAGATGACACGTTATTTTAAAAATTTCTTCTTGGTCATAACTTTTCTTAATACAAAACTAATGTTAGCATTTAGAATCTTAATCAAAAAAAATTCTTGCTGCTAAATAGCTGCCAAACACACAGTCAGGTTTTTGTACAAATTTTTTTGGATCCATCAGTGTATTTTTATAAAATACTAACATTTCATTTCTTAAGCATTTTTGCATCTAGTTCCTAAAAACTAGAATAATTTTTAATCATGCATGTTTTCATTCATTCTGCATGAATGAATGAATTCATTCATCCACTTATTTTTCTGTGCTTATTTATGGGTTTCATATGTTTTGCTGTGCATGTCATGCTGGTGTGCCATAATAGAGACTAGGTTTATATTATATACATATAAATAATGCATAATATAATTCAGTTTTCACAATGGTTAGCCAACAAGTCTGCATGCATTCAGAATTTTCCAATGTTCATTCAAGATTGCCAGTACATATTCTTTAAAAGTGATGTCACACATGGTCTCTGTACTATTGTATTTCTACATGACTGGTTCCTATGACACATAGCCCTCTGTTAATTAGTCTACATTTTTCCCATTCTCTGGGACACCCTTGCCCTTCCTGTCAACTTTATTCATCATATAACTTATCTTTCACTTTAAAGACAGCTATAAGCTCAAGATAAATTCTCTTATATTTAATTTTCTCCTCAACTCGAAATATGACACTTTGTCTTTTCTCTTTGTAAGGGTAATTTCTGCCCTGAATCTCTACTCCTTATCAAAACACTGTTATGCGTATGCCAGTTTCATTTCCTTCAAGGTCACACATCTTTTCCACGTCTTTCAATCTTACATTCTCTACTCATTTTATTCCTATAACTCACATATACATCCAGGGTTCTCCATTATTTTTTTAAAAATATGTTTACTTGTTTAAATTTCTCATGCTGCATATCCTCACTCATCCTTTCACACTTTTAAACAGATGGTCTACAAACCTACAACCACAATGAAACGCACACATCTTTAAAACATCTTCAAACACTTCTTAAACATTCCTTTTGGATTATACAACCATCACTTCAAAGCCAATAAGCTCCAAACCAACTCATAGTTCACCTCTCCAAATATACCGTTTCCTGTGGAATTTTCATTTAATTTCATAACATGAATCCTCTCTCTCTGAAGAGAGAGCGATTCAAGCCTTCAGAGTCACGATTGATTCTGCATTTGTCTTTCCCCTATCCAATGTGTCATCAGTACCTGTAGGTTCTTTCTTTGAAACTTGTTGAGTTGCTCCCTTCTTTTCAGTTTCAGAACCATTATAATGGTTCAAGCCCTTGAATTTGTTTTAAGAGACTATCTCTAGTGTAAGCACCATCTTGTCCACCTAACAAACCCAAGCCACATTAGTCATCTTTAAGACTGCTTTTGTGTTATTTTCTCTTGCTTAAAATAATCTGTTCCTTCACGCCATATGAAAACATTCTCACAACTCCCTAGCCTTGAATACAATAACCTTTACTTTGATGCAAGTATTTTTAGGATGAAATATGTCTCATCTTTAAAATTGTCTCTACTCCAACCAAATTTTTCAGATTACCTCTTAAATTTAAATTGACTTTTAAAATACATTTATGTTTAGGACTACATCTCTGCCTTTTATGAATGTTCTTTTTTAGCAGTTGGTTACTCTTTTCTCAGCCATCTTTCCCTGTCTTTTACAACACAGAACTATACCTTAATCAATTATTCATCTTCTTTTACTCAGGTATGTGTTTAAAAGGTGAATCAGTAGCCCCTCCCCTCACATTCAGGGGAAACTCATGGTTTGCCTAAGCAATTGTGACCTAATTCTCTCTCTTTCCTCATCTTTGTTATTTAGAACCTATTCTTGAGATACAATGCCAGACAACAAAACTCACTGTTGAAGAGGACTCTAGGAAAATTTTGTCTTATTCTTACAAAGTAATCAAAAAGAAGAAAATCTGTTTGTTCATTGTCAGGTTCTTGGTTACAAAGAAAAAATTATCAAGGAGCATTATTTTATAACAAACCAGTAACCTGAGGATAGAAGGGCATAAAGGAAGGTGTCCATGCAGTTCTGACTTTTGATGACAATATTAAGCTACTGAATTAACCAGCTTAGCACTGACAAGCTCTTAGTCCTCTTGCTATTTGAGATAATGCATTTCACTTATGGTCTGCATTAGTTAGAAACGCATTTGGTTCCAAACAACTAAAAACCCAACTTACAGTAACTTTGTGCAGACAGGAATTAATTTGTTTCAAATAAGAGTCTAGAAGTTGCTGGTTTGAGACAGGTAGTGTGGTAAAACTACACAGTCTTTCGTTTTCACCATCTTTTCATCCTCATGTTCATTCGTGGTTGTAAGAGGACCACAGTACCTTCTGATATCAGCAGAAAATGCACACAGAGCAAAAATAGGAAAAGAAAAAGAAATTTTTTTTCTATTCTGGACTTTTAATTTATAAAATAAATTAAATTCCCCAAATTTCTACATAGATGTTATTGACCTCTCATGGCTATGAGCAAGTTTGGAGACTATGTTTTTTTTTTTTTTTTCCTGCTGGTCACAATACTGCCAGAAATAAAAGGAGAATTCTGTTTTTATGAAGCAGAAAGACGTAGGCATCTCATAGATATTGTCAAAATGTTTAAACTGCTCATGGTTGGAATTTACGCTCCAGGGTATGTTAATTAATATATCTTATCCATTTTATGGAGGAAATCAAACCCATCCTTGAATGATCACTTCCAGCCCTACCTCTCCCTTTCCAGACCACATTAATTCTCGGGGTGGTGTGTGTGCAATCAAGCAATCAAGTCTAATTTAGAAGTCCATTACTTCTTTATTTTGTAATTGTCATCTTAAATGTTATTTAACATGTAGTTACTATAAACACTTCTATGATTACTGAGCTTCATTAAATATACTGTAAGTATTTTACTAAGTATCCACTGAAAGATGACGACATGAAGATTGTAAAATTTTCTCATAATGAGATTGTATCAATATTTTCAAAATGGCAGTTACTTTAGAAAAACTATTTTTTCAGATTGTGATTTTTGTCTTGGTCCCATGAATGTAATTAAAGAATTACTCACACTCTTAAATAACTGCCATTTCCTCAGTGGTAGGATATTTGGCTATGTGGCTGCATGATAAGGGAAAATAAAATTTATCAACTTTTATTTTGATAGAGATTGTTCTGTATGTAATTATTTTTAACTCCTCAAATCCACATAGTTACCCTGTTATGTCACACCATAATGCATGGTTTAGGAATAATAGTGTTCCCTCAAGTGAAAAATATTTTTCATTACAAAATGGCTTCTTGGCACTTTGAGAAGGATCTCAAAGAATGTGGGTATAGTGAGAAACAGTGCTTTCTTTCACTGAATAATAATGTGTTCCTATGTTTTTAAGGGTAGGAGGAAGAGCAACCCCTACACAGTGCACACTCTAGTCCTTAACACAGGACCACGAACATTGAATACAGGCTATATATAATTTCTTTTGATGGAAAAAGCAGCATATTTTCGGGATTTATTATTAATAGCTTTTTATACAGAGAATTATCTTCACTTGTAGAACCATGCACTTCTGCATAGGAGTGATGCAAAAGAAGTTTTATCTTTTCTTTCTGGTAGTGGAATTCTTACAGTGGTCCATCAAATTGTTAGTACAAACTCATCATATATGAGGGGTATAAACTGGATTTTAGTTTTCCGAAAACCAAAATAGCCTGGTGTGTTTTCACACCAACACTAAAAATACCTGTGGGGAAACATAAAAATTATATAAGGGCAGCCTGTAGGAAAATGCCTGAAGTAAAATTATTATGCGCACCTTCACGAATTGAAAAACCAAATACTTAGTAACTCTGAGTTTTAAGCCTATATTTATATAGCATAAGCAATTGTGCTCTGTATATATGGAAAGCACAAACACACACACACACAAACATCCATTTTTAAGCATTTTTGCTCTTTTAAGTAAGTAGTGGGGTAGCTTTATTGACAAGCATTCATTATAACTTTTAATTAAGCAGGAATCTTTATGAACAACTTATATGAACCAAATTATATTACCTTTAATACTTTTCCTCCAGCTTTTTTCATGGAGGCAAAGTGGAGTCTTTGAACCCAAAGATATAAAGTCCTCAATTTTTATTTGCTACTCATTCTTTGTTCCCAGTACAATAGTAGAGCAAGGAAATAAATGGAAGAATAATGATGCAAATATATTTTTGATATATGAAAAAGAAGACAATTTAATAATCTTTAAATTTTTATGTGATTACTTGCCAATTTTCCTCTTGATTGTTGATATAGTGTTAATGCCAACATGTTTCAAATTAATTTTTCCTTTTAATATATTTAACTCAAGTATTCTGTATCAGTGATTATTAAATCCTATATTTATTATGTTTATAGAGATTTCCAAACGTTTTTAAGAGCCATTGTTTTAAGAACTCTTATGCAATTTATTATTTATAGTCCATATAAAAATATATTTTGGGCAATTTTTAAAAGTAGACAAGATATATCTCTGACAGTATTATTTCAGTATATTCTTATATTTAAGAATTTATGTAGGGCAATCCATGAATGTGTGATGCTGTATACGGTTAACAGCATTAATAGTTCTCATAGTACGTCTAAAAATTTGCCAACTCTTTTCCCTTCTTGTTGCAATTTTTTATTTTAAATTGAAATATGAAGATAAACATTAAACAGATATTAGGGTAAGTGAAAATAAACCAGCAAGGACAACAATTCACATAATGATATAATAAGTATTCAAATTCAGAGACTTAAATTAGAATGCTAGTTATGTTAGGGAATTGACATTTAATGGGTAGAGTTCAACATTTTGCAAGATGAGGAAAAGTTCTAGTGATGGAAATGGTGGAATGGGTGAACAAAAATTAAATGCACTAAATCACACTGAACTATACAAAATGAAAATGCTGACAATGGCAAATTTTATGTTCATAATTTACCACAATAGAAAATGAGAGCACATACAAAAATACGATTAGAGAAGAAATATCATCACTATAAAGTCCCAAGGAATAAAAATTATAACAATGGAACTAAAATTTAAAATTTAAATTGTTATGTGTAACTAATCTTCAGAGGGTTACCCATGAAGTACTTCCCTTCCTGCGATGTGTGACGCTTTCCCATTGAGAGTGGAGTCTGTTTCCTTTCTCTCTATGAATCTCAGGTTACATTTGGTTATTTTCTTTGACCATTAAATGAGTTGAGTGTGACATTTTGGAACATCAAGAGAGGTAAGATAAAGGAACTCTCCACTGGCTAGCCTGGAGTTTTGGATATGGTATTCTTTGAATACAATTCTCATAGAAGTCAGTCCCTTGTACAGTGCTTGCATAGCCTACTCCTTATGGCTGTCATGTTTTGTTGTAGCAGTCACATGGAACACCCTGGAGGATGAAGGTGCCATGTCCAAGTAGGATGGGTTATGAGCACTAAGGATCATTTATTTCAAATCTTTCTGTTTTCCTTTTAATATATGCACTCATGGCTATATATGACAACCTAAGCCAACATATACTTAATGAGGAAAAAACTGAAACATTTTCGCCTAAAGTAGGAACGAAGATAAGGGTGCCCACTGTCCCCATTCTTATTCAACATAGTCCTGGAATTCCTATCCAGAGCAATAAGGTAATAAGAAGAAATAAAAGGAGTAGCAAAAATAGAAAAAAAAAAAAATATAAAGACTGTCGAACTATCCCTATTTGCAGATGACATGATCATCTGCAAATCAACTTACAAAAATCAGTAGCCTTTCTATATACCAGCAATGCACAATTGGAGAAATAATATAAGAAAACAATTCCATTTACAGTAGTCTCAAGTAGGATAGGTGGGACCAAAGAATATCATTATTCCAACCTTAGAGAGGAAGAAGACATTGTGGAGGTGATTGTTCAGTCCCACAATCCAAGTTCAAATCATACCAATCAGAAACAAACTGTTAGCCTGAATTACCTCACCCCACAAAAGTATGGCCAAAATGAAACTGCTGTTGAGGCCACTAACATTTGGGTTCCTGGTTTGCAGCAAACTATAACTATAATAGAGAGCCTGCAAGCATCAAGATTCAATACAAACCTGGTCAATAAAACTGATGGAAAATTATATGTTTAAATATGCCTCATATTTTAAAACTGTATACTTGGTTTATAAATGACTTTCAAATACCACTTTGATTCAAAGAAAAAGTGCAGCACTTCTAGTCCTCTTTTTCTAGTGCAATGTAATTCATAGAATTATTCATTAAATTGGTATTTATTTAATAAGTTCACTTTAGCCTCATCTATAAAATCAACCATTTTTTCCAAGAAGTGTAATAGAAAAGGAAATTAAAACAAATGGAAAATACGGACAGCTATTTCAGTTTTTGGCTATTTAAATTCTAATCCTACACAGTTCTGCATAATCATGCAATGGGAACTTTTTGTAATATGATTTTCTATAGTTTACAGTGAAGAGGTAAGAAAGGACAAGAGCGCCGTCATTTGGACATTTGTGCAGAAAAAGAGTCAGAAAATTGTTTGGTGATTCTAAATCTCTTCTAGAGCACTGAAACATTTCTTTATAGCCATCAGTGCCAAAATATTGTTCTACTCAAGGTAAAATCCTGAGCTGAACTGGGTTTATTACAGTAGAAAAACATACTTACCACAGTGAGCTTCATCAGACTTATCAACACAGTCTGGCTTATAGTCACACACAAGGTAGGATGCAATACACTTCTTGTCCTGGCACAAGAAATCCGAGGCTTCTGAGCAAATCTCAGAGGTCTCTCCAACTAAGGAAAACAAAAGCAAAAGCAATCTTGAATCAATATCGCCATGATATTTTGAAGACTCCTGTTAGTAGTTATATAGAGTCCACGCTATTAAATAAGTTAGTATTGTTAACAGCTGTCCAAAATAGATTTTTAGACAACTGCCTGTCTTTCATTCCCACCTCCAATTGTTTAGCAAGATATACACAATCTACTTTTGAAATATCTTTTACAAGACCTGACCATTATTTTTAAATAGATCCAAACATCTGATAAAGCATTAAAGATCTCATTAAAGACCTTTTGTTGCTGGTTCCAGTGTAATTTCTCTAGTCTTATTACTTTCTGGGATTTAATTCTTATAAAAATCCTGCAATTAATTTTCACCTTTTGAATTGAAGGTTTCAAACATATGCCACCAAATTCTTCAATATTTTCACACATTTAGCATGCCTACATGATTGGTCTGTTTTTGGGCCGCTAAGTACTTTGTTGCTCAACCTCAGATCAAAAAGTACTAACTTTTTCTTCCCCTACATTCTCTTAACTGTCCTCTTTGATATTTTGCCCCAGCTTTGGCACTTCAGTTAAATTGTCACATAAAGAATGATTTAAATTCCTATATTAGAAATGTTTTTCACTTCACAAAAACTATTTACATGCCTCTCTGCCTTCCCAGATTCTAAACTCCATTGAAGCATAAGTTTTTACATTGTATTCTCTTGGGCCTGTCACCGACGCTGGTGATTAGTAAAGTTGCAGGTTATAAAGAAAGCATAAATGTTTTCATTTAAAGGGGGCTTAGGAAAGTGAACTAACACACAATTTTCAAAACAATTCATATATTTTAATTATCTATTTAAAACTTATTGACAAATTTTGATAATACTTTGACAGCTTTACATAGAGTAAATGAATATTAAAGTTCTAAAACTCAAATTTTTGAAACAAATAAAATAAAGCTCAGTCAATTTTCTTTAAATGCAACTAGACTATTAATAGCGTCTCAGCTGGTATGCCTGAGGTTTGGGATAAATTTACTGAAGTTTGGAACAATTCCATGAATGACTTTGACTGAAAATTCCATTGCTAATTATTTTGATTTGAATCATGCTCCATAATATTATTAGCTAAGATCTGTATAATTTTAAGCAGAAATAATTTATTAGTTAGAATGCTCTCTCTCACGAATATAAGGGTGAAGAATGATGAGAAAGGACATCATAACCACAAACAGCCAGTAATTTCTATTCGGTGGGCCTTAGTAAAATGAAGAGCTTCAAAGGTTTGGGTTCAATCGAGTTAGTTTCTCAGCGAAACTTTGCTACATAATCTTTAATAACACTAGTGAGATTCAATAGTTAATGCAGAGCAGGATGGGTGAGTTTTAGTATGCCGTCTATGCTATTTGAGATTAATTTTTTATTTTCCAAACCATAGGAATGTGAGCTTATATAATTTTACTCCAAAAGGGAAAATGTGTTTTTAACTTCCAACATATAATAAGTGATTCTTTATGTTCTTTAATAATATGGTTAAAATAGACTAACTTCTCCAAAATGAGGCTTATTTTCCCTTAACAATATAGAATTGCAAAGACATAGAGGGAAATCAGTCAGTGCTTTGAATTACAGTAAAGGAGAAATAGCTAGAATTTTCTGTGAAACATTAAGGTGTATCAAGAACAAATAAATAAAAAGAACTTATATTTCTAAGAAAATTAGGTCTTTAAGGACAAGAATATGGTAATAGAAAAAGGTAGATTAATTTTAGTTAAAGAGGACTGTCTTGTATTCATTTTAGTCATGCATTCTTTTAATTCAGTAAACTGATAAAAAGCAGTAACTACTCACCTGGTTGGCGAAAATATATGAAATGAAAGATAATGGGGCCCCCCACACATTCTACCAGCTGGATAGCATAAAATGGAAAAGAGCAATTAAATCGCTCATAACAGAGTTTAAGATAATTGGGCTTAGCAGAATTGTGGCATATAAAAAACATTAGATTAGGTATTTATTTAGCTACAAAAATGATGGACAAAATAGTGAAACCTAAAAAATAGGAAAAATACCTTGGAAAGAAGGAAGGGACCTGAAAAAACTAAGTAACACAAGAAATTAATATTTAATATAGTAAAGGCAAAGAACAGATTTATGGGAGCAATTTGTGAGTTGATTGGGAACAAAGTGAAACTAGCCTGCAAGTAACACAATAGTGAAAGTGGCTTCACTCTACTTTGAGCAAAATGTAACAAGGTTCTAACCGCATAAATTTCAATCTGATTAAATAGTTTTGTACTGGTACTGAACCTGGATATAATGATCGTTCCATCCCATAAGATTATTATTCATGGGCAAACACACTTGCATTATCATTCCTTGTTTGAGTGAAGATCTTCAGTATGCAGCTGAGATTCACTGTAAATTTCCACACGGTTATAGCATTGTTAAACCTTCCACTCTTTTTTTTCTTTTTTTTTATTCATATGGTGCATAACAATGTTTTGAGTCATTTCCCCCCTCTTCCCCTACCCCCCTCCGCTAAACCCCCAGCCCCCCTCCTCTCCCCGCCATTCCCTCACTACCTGGCAGAAACTATTTTGCCTCTTATCTCTAATTTTGTTGAAGAGAGTAGTATAAGGAACAATACGGGAAAGGACAAGGGTTGTTGCAGTTGAGAATAAGGATAGCTATACAGGGATTGACTCACATTATTTCCTGTGCATGTGTGTTACCTTCCAGGTTAATTCTCTTGATCTAACCTTTTCCTATGTTTCTGGTTCCCCTTCTTCCTACTGGCAAAGTTTTGTTTTAAATGCAACAGTATTTTAATTAGGATATGGTGGGCAATGGAAGACCATCATGGACAAACTTCCTGCCTTTGAGCAGTCATGTACTGAGCTGGAAGTCAACAATTGGTTTGGGAATCTATCAAAGGAAACAACTAAGGTTTCTATGTGCTATCTACATACTGAAGAGTTGCTGAAATTCTAATCAGAGAAATTCCCATGGGAAAGTAGTAACTCTGAAAACATGTCTAGGAAGGGTTCTAACCAACGATCTCATACCAGTTGGCACAGAGGCATGAAGAAGGTTGTACTAACAAACATTTTTCATTATCAGTGGGACTGCAGTTTTGCTCATGAGTGAGCAAGGGGAATAGAGAAAAGGTGAGATTTCAACATGTCTTATTTTTCCAATTTTCACATACATAATATATAATAGTTCTTTATAATTCTTTTTTCTCCTGGTGTTCTTCAAACAGTGGGCATGAATCTCTAAATTATAACAACTGACTCTTTTCTTATATCAGTTTCAAACAACTACTTTTGAGGCTGTCCAGTAAAATTTTCACTTCAGTTTTCTTCTGTCTTTTAAGTTCAGAATTTTCAAGCTTACGTTATTTTTTTATAATGTGATATCTCATATTGATATTTCCTATTGGATGAGATAATAGCATAGTACTTTCCTTTTAATTTTCTTTAAAACATTTTTTTATTTAATTTGAAAATATTTGTTAATAGATGATTTGATTGTCTTTTTCTGCTAAGACCCACATTGAGTGCTATCACCAGGCAGTTTCATTTATACACTTTCCTTGGTTTGGAAGCACATTTTTCCAAATTTTCATTTCATGCTGTATATTTTTTATGCTTCATAATTTTGAATTTTGTTGAAAACTGGACAATTTTACCTGGGTATGTAAGAAGCCACTTCAGATATGAATTTCTCTCCTTTCAATCCTTTATGGAGAGGGTTATGATCAATTACCTGAAAGACTTAGGAGTTTTCAATTTTGGATATGATTGTAATATTATTTTTTTTGAATAGTGTTTTTCTTTAAGTCTCTTTTCTCTGCTTCTTGAATGCCCATTAGAAAGCTGGTCTTTTTTCATTCTATCTTTAATGTCTCTAAATTGCTATCTCACTTTTTCTCTTTACCTTAATGTGCTACATTCTTGTAGCTTCACATTTACTTGGTGATTTACTCATCTGTGTCTAATCTGTTATTTTAAAACTTTTCTACAGGCATTTATTTGCAATCACAAGTTTATTCATTTCTAGAAATTAAGTTTACTGATCCCAGTTTGATATTCTGCTTATTTTTATGTTGTCTCTTTTCTGTTTTATGATGCCAACAGTAAATGGTTCTAAAATCATAATTTCACACTGCCTTCTATCTTGTCCTTGAAATTTCAATTGCTATAGAAATTTTAATATTGATATATTGTTTGGAATTTTCATTCTCACATCATCTACTATACTATGATGTGGTTTACGATAACCTTATGTTTGGGGCTTCAAGTTTTTTTTTTTAACCTCTAACAGGATTTTTTTATTTTAGGAAATATGCCAACACATTAAAGAACATAATGCTTGAATGCCTGTTTCACATTTAACAGGAGTCATAGCTGATAGCATAAATAGATGAAAATAATATATCTGCTCATTCTGACATATGTGTCAGCCTAATCAATCTATTTTTTTTAATTTTATTATTCATATGTGCATACAAGGCTTGGGTCATTTCTCTCCCCTGACCCCACCCCCTCTCTTACCACCCACTCCGGCACTCCCTCTCCCCCCCACCCCCTCAATACCCAGCAGAAACTATTTTGCCCTTATTTCTAATTTTGTTGTAGAGAGAGTATAAGCAATAATAGGAAGGAACAAGGGTTTTTGCTGGTTGAGATAAGGATAGCTATACAGGGCATTGACTCACATTGACTTCCTGTGAGTGTGTGTTACCTTCTAGGTTAATTCTTTTGATCTAAACTTTTCTCTAGTTCCTGGTCCCCTTTTATATTGGCCTCAGTTGCTTTTAAGGTAATCTGCTTTAGTTTCTCTGCATTAAGGGCAACAAATGCTAGCTAGTTTTTTAGGTGTCTTACCTATCCTCACCTCCCTTGTGTGCTCTCCTTTATCATGTGCCTCAAGTCCAATCCCCTTGTTGTTTTGCCCTTGATCTAATGTCCACATATGAGGAGAACATACGATTTTTGGTCTTTTGGGCCAGGC